CCCGCGGCCTGGAGCGCCGAGAAGCACAGGATGAGCGCCCGCGTGGCTGCGAGCTCGCGTCGGGGCGGGGGGCGGCCCCCCAGGCGCCGCCGGTTGCCAGCTTTATCAAACGGTTGCAGATAACAAGAAAATCAAACAGAAGACGGATGGGCTTCAGGAGGGAGCGAAAGGCCGCACATCTTGCCTTATCTTAAATGCGCCGCCTGTTTCACTTACATGCCGTGGCGGCCCCCTCCCACAGGGGATCCCCTTCGCCCATGGGGGCGCTGCTAATGCTCTGTTCAAACACCCTCGAAGGGTTTCCCTGCTTTCAATAGCGTTGCACTCTGTCGCGCGATCGCCCCGTCACAGGGGGCCCCCCTCACGAAGGGGCGCGCGCCCCTGCGATGAAGGGGCCTCGTCTCTCTCTTGCCAGACAACCGAAGAAGACGACGAAGACGACGGTTATGCTGATGGATGTGATGATGATGGATGTGATGCTGATAGATGTGGTGATGATTTCTTAGCCATCTACGCGCTGTGCTACTAAGCGGTCGGCCTCCGCTTTCGCCCCCTCCTCCGTCACGGTGCCCATGAACAAAGCCGCCTTCAGCTCTTCCCCAATCTCCCTGAGCGCATCCTCATCCAAGGTGTCCTTGTACCTCTTCCCGCCGAAACTCACGAATTGGTTATTCTCGCCGTGCTTCCGCCTCAACCCGATGGCGTGGTCCTTCTTGTAATGCATCGCGCCGCGCCCTCGGGGGCCGCCGACAGCGGGGGGTCGACAGCATCTGCTTCCACGGGGGCGTCGGGATCCAGCTGCTCTTCCTCCTCCCCCTCCTCGTCCGCATCCTTCTCCACCAGCGGCTTCGGTTGAGCGCCTGCTGGTTTTTTGGCCACTGCGGGCTTCTTGAGCACCATGGCTGCTGGCTTCCCCCTCTTTGCCGCCGCCTTCGCCTTCGCCTTCGATCCCACCGCCCTCGCTGCAAGCGGCGCGTTGGGCTGCTCCGTCTTCTCCTCCCTGCCGTCGGGGAACACCGCTTTCAAGAAACCATCGTCTCCTTAGGCCAGCTCCCCCCGCTCCTCCCTGTCCGCGAACTTCAGCGACAAGCACATCGGATCGGACTTGAAGTCGAAGAACTTCGCCAGGGGATCCTGGGCGGGTAGACACTTCTTTGCCCCAGTGGGGTTACTCAAACGCACGACGCCACAATCTATTGCCCCTCCTGGAGGGGATCAAACACAGGTGCGTGTTGTTATGTTCAAAAACAGGCCCATCCTCCTCCACGCCCCCCCCTTCCAGCCCCCCCGCCCCCCTCCGATCGATCCTCCTTCGGGGCGTCCGCGGCGGGCGGTTCAACGAACTCGCCCTCCGACATGCCGACGTCCTGCGACGAGAACACCATCATGGGGCTGCTGGCAACCTTCTGCTTCTTCGGCTTCGGAGGGGGGCTGATGCCGAACGCGTTCTTGATGACGTCGCGCCTGCAGTCCCCGCTGGAAGACGCGGGGGCGCTGGGCGACGCGGCGGCCGCAGGAGCGCTGGGCGACGCGGCGGAAGGCGAGACCTCCAGGTCGGAGCTGTCGTCGGCGCGTTTGCCTTTAGATCCCACTGTGCTTGGGCCATCCTTCCCGGAATTCACACCCATGGCTTCGCCCAGCAACTTCACGTGCGCATCCAACTTGCTCCCCGTCCTCGCCTGGTAGAATTTGTTGCGCGTGTGGCTGAATGAATTGGTTACTTCCTGGCAAAAACGCATGCACTCATCCGCGTGCATGTTCGGCTTCTGCTGCAGCACAGCGGTCTGGGAGCTCTTCCACCTGGCGCGCGCGGTGTGCTCTGCAAGCCCAAGGAGGAGAGGCATGCTGTTCTTCATGAACTCATCCGTGCCCCCCTTCAGCTGGCAACGCTCGATCAAGCCAATGTGCTGTTTCACCAGCGACTTCAACTGATCGGCGCTCACCGTGGAAGACCGTATCTGCATCTGCTTGTCCTTGGCCATGTTGGCCGCGCCCGCGCGAAATGCGCGAACAAAGGAAGCGCGATGCACTCGAGCCTTCGCTGCTGCGGATCGCGCATGTGCGGATATGATATGTGATGCCCCTCACTCAGGGGATCCAAGAAGGATGCGCTAACGAAAAAATTACAATACACTCAAAAATCCTGGGTTGCTCTATAGTGCGGCCCGTGGAAATCATAGGGTTGATCTATAGTTCGTCCAGGCATTATGGTACAACTTTGGAATCTCAAGGTGGGTGTCCAGAGAGGCGTGCCGCGCGCTGGCCGGCGGGCGGGCGCGCGAAACCCGCCCCCCTGGGGGATTTTATTGTTTTTTGTTTCCCTCCTCGGGCCATCGCGCATTGTCGAACTCGCGCCCCCCCCCCCCCCGGGGACTGCATCGGGCCGGGCGGAAGGGGGGGGATAGCGAAGGGGGGGCTTGAGAATCAGCTCGCGAAGCTGATTTCCCCGGCGCCTCCCGGCGCTGGGAGGCGCCCATGTATCGAGAATCGGGCTCCTCGGTGGGTCCGATTCTCGAAGCCCGGCGGGCGGGCGGGCGAAGCCCCCCCCCCCGGGGAACGGATTCTTGGACGCCCGAAATGGGTGCGGTTACGTCGGGCGCGTCCCCCATGCAGGGGGATTTTCGACGAAGAATAAAACATACCCTTAACATGCACCAAAAAGGTCAAAACATACCCCCCAAAACATAGTCCCCAAACTATTTTTGACTATTTGTTTTTACGCTGCTTGGGGTATCTTTTATTTTTCGTCGAACATCTCCCTGTAGGGGGACAGGCCCGACTTAAGGGTATGGAAAGCATGGGTACAGTGCCCAACAACATATGTTGTCCCAAACCAGTAGCGGCCGCTGTTGGGCGGGCGGCCTTCTGTCTCGAATGGGCATAGGCCGCGGCGGCGTGGACAGCGAATTTGGTTCAAAATGACTAGGAATTGCTGTTGGGCATTGTACCCATTCTTTCCGTACCCATCTCGGGCGACCAGACTGGAGCACGGGAGGGTGCCCGAGGTCGGCTGGAAGCCGGGAGCCCGAACGTGCACAACATGCGTCAAGAGCATGAGCCACCTCGCCGATCACTGGAGGGTACTCTCCACCTGGATGCACAATAGCATCCAGCATCTCGGCGGCGGCGGCGAGCGAGGGGGGGAAATGAGGCGGAGAAGGCCTGCTCAGAAGGCGGCGGGGCTTCTCGGAAGCCCGCTGGCCTTCTGAGAGGTTTCCCGTGCCTTCGGTGGCGCGCGGAGAGCGCCAGGGGCGGTGCCTCTGGGGAGTTCAGCGCGGATCCGAGAAATCCGCGCGGGCATCCGAATTTTTATGTTTATGTCATTCTTCGTTCCCCCAAGCTCTGGTCCGCGCCCAGGGCCGTAGGTATTGATCTTTGATCATTCAACGGTTGTCGGGCGGCGCCCAACATTTCCGTTTCGCATTGGCTTTTGATTATTCGGCGGTTGTCGGGCGGGGCCCACTTGGCCGTTTCGCATTGGTTTGAAATTATTCGGCGGTTGTCGGGCGGCGCCCATGTGGCCGTTTCGTATTGTTTTTGATTACTCGGCGGTTGTCGGGCGGCGCCCATGGCCGTTTGGCATTGGTTGTTGGCTTTTCGGCGGTTGTCGGGCGGCGCCCTTAGTGGTTGTTCATTATTCCGCGGTTGTCGGGCGGCGTTGATTTGTTTGCTGTTGTCGGGCGGCGCCGAATGGCCGTTTCGTATTGGTTTTTGATCATTCGGCGGTTGTCGGGCGGCGCCCATGGCCGTTTCGCATAGGTTTTTGATTATTCGGCGGCTGTCGGGCGGCGCCCTTTTGGCCGTTTCGCATCTTTTCTTTGATTATTCGGCGGTTGTCGGGCGGCGCCCATGGCCGTTTCGCACTGGTTTTTGATTATTCGGTGGTTGTCGGGCGGCGCCCGTGGCAGTTTCGCATTGTTTTTTTGTTATTCAGCGGTTGTCGGGCGGCGCCCATGGCCGTTTCGTATTGGTTTGTGGTTATTCGGCGGTTGTCGGGCGGTAACCTTCTGGCCGTCTTGCGTTGGTGGTTGATTATTCGGCGGTTGTCGGGCGGCACCCCTGGCCGTTTCGCATTGGTTTTTGATTATTCGGCTGTTGTCGGGACCGTCCTGGGGACCTCGTGGGCCGCTCTTGGCCCGTCTTGGGCCCCTCCTGGGCCCTAAAAAGCTATGCGAAAACGCTTCCCGGAGCCAAGGGGGCACGCGGGAAGGGAAAGCAGAAGGGGATTTCGGAAATTGGAGCCCGGGCCTGACAAAACTTCTCAGGAGTGAGGATTGAGGATCCGGAAGGCCGCGGGGGACTTCCGAGCCTTCCGAGAAGGCCCGCCCCTTCTCACTTCCCCCCCGGGTTCGCTGCCGAACGTCGGGCCGCATCCGCGATGCATCGGCGATGCGGCGCGATCCTCCGACGCTGAGATCCGACGTTGCAGGAAAAATGCAACATCGCAAGACATCACGTCCGGAGCCCTGGACCCCATCTTCCCGCGTCATCTGTCGAGCCGGGTCGATCTGCGAGGGCCCCCCGGGGCCCGAGGGGGAGCGAAAAAACGCCCGCTGTGAGAAAACTGCGGCTCTCAGGCTCTCAGGGGGGGCCCGCTGTGAAAAAACTGCGGCGCCAGGCTCTCAGGGGGGGCCCGCTGTGAAAAAACTGCGGCTCTCAGGCTCTCAGGGGGGGCCCCGCTTGGGAGGCCGCGGCAACTTGCGCGCCCACGTCGGCGCAGCCGGCCCCACTTGTCTGGCGTCGCCCGCCCGGGAGGCCCGGCTGACCCGCCGTGCCCCGCAGAGCAGCCGCCCTCGACGCGCGCCGCCCTTTCGACGGGTCCCTCCCTTCCTCCTCCTCCTCCTTTCCCTCCTCCTCCTCGGGCTTCTCCTCCTCCTCCTCCTCGCCCTCCTCCTCCTCCTCCTCCTCCTCCTCCCTCCTCCTCTCCCTCCTCCTCCTCCTCCTCCTCCTCCTCCTCCTCCTCCTCCTCCTCCTCCCCCTACGGCGGGGAGGCGCGGCGCCTCCTCCAGCAGGCCCCGGAGCTCGCCGCCCGAGGGGGCGAACTCTAGCGCCTCCTGCGGACGGGCCGAGGGCGCGCCGCGAGGAGCGGCACTGCAGCCTGGAGGAGCGGCACTGCAGCCTGGAGGGGATCTCCGACGATGCCCCTCCCTCGCCTCCTCCCTCTCGCCCTCCCCCCGCTCTCCTCCTCCTCCTCCTCCTCCTCCTCCTCCTCCTCCTCCTCCTCCTCCTCCTCCTCCTCCTCCTCCTGACTCCTCCTGCTCCTCCTCCTCCTCCTCCTCCTCCTCCTCCTCCTCCTCCTCCTCCTCCTCCTTCTGCTCCCCCTCCTCCCACCCCTCGCCATCGCTCGGACGTCCCTCCTCCGTGCATTTGTTCGGCATCGTGCGTTTTTTTTTTTAGCCCAGTGGTCGAGGCCGCTCCTCGAAGGTCCTCGCCGAGAACAAATGCACACGTCCGCGCGATGCCAAGCCCTGCCCAGGGCGCTCGCCACGAGGCCCCCCCGAGAGTGTGGGGGGGGGGGGGGCGGGGCAAAGCCTGCAGTTCCCATCGACCTGCCATCGCTCGGACGTCCATTCCCCGTACCGCTGCTCGGCCCCGTGCGAGCACTTCCTCGCAGGGTGGCCGAGAAGGCTCCTCGATGGCCCTCGCCGAGGCGCAAACGTCCCAGCCGCGAAGCCACGACGGCCCGACTCGCTCGATCCGGACCCCCTCCGTCGACCTCGGGCGCCCCGGGGCCCGTGGTCGGGCCCCGGAGCCATGCCGAGCGGGAGCGGAGGAGCGGCCCCGGGGACGGGGTCGGGGGGGCCTCTCTGGGGCCGCGCGCGGGGAAACTGAGATCGCCGGATGTGTGGAGGGCCGCCGCGTCCGCACGAATAGCCGACTCGCACTCCAGTCGGGGAGGTTGCTAAAGGTGCCCCTGGCTCAAGGTGCCCCCCGCTTTTCGCTCCAATGTGAAAGCCCCTGGGGCCCTCTGGGCCTCGTGGGGGGTGCTCTGGGGGCCGTGGGGCATCCCTGGAAATCCTGAGGGCACCTTGGGCCAGGGGCACTTCTGGCAACACCCGATCAAGTGCCCGCGCGTCATCGCGTCCGGCGAGCCGCGCCGGGAAGTCCCCCACGGTCAGTACCACCGCGGCCGCGTGGGTCGTGCCAGACTGGCTGGCCGCACTGCGCGCGAGCCTGCGCCCGCTGCCGCGGCCGCAGCGATGGGGCGACGTTGACGCTGAGGAGATGGGGATGTGGATGGCGTGTCGCGCCGAAGCGTGGTGATCCAGAACCGGCGGAGCGACATGCTATCCAGTAGTTCGCGGCCACAAGACCCGGATGGAGACAACAGGTAGTCCAAGAACTGCTCCTTCCTCGGCCACCAGCATGTTTATGTTTACGCAGCGTCTTGGAGCGATAAGATGGAAAGTTGGCCGCCTCCTCGGCTACACGCAGTAGTGACTCTGGGCAAGAGGGACCTTTGGCGCGCGGCTTCAGGGGGCGCCAACACACAAGCGCGCAATCCGCTGCAACCGCAGCGCAATCGGCGATCGAAGGACCCAGATGGGCCCGCACCAATTTTTGGGGTAATTGTATTGCAAATCTATTGCGACAGAGCGTTGTATTGCATTGTAGTGCAACTAACGTATTGCACGCTACGTTCAATCCAGCAATACATTTGCACACCAGAAGGTGTTGCACGCCCCAAACCTATTGCAACCACACAAATCTATTGCACCAAATCCATTGCACCACCCCCTTGTCGCTGGACCCCCTTCTAGGTCAACCAGACACTTGAGGACAACGGAAGACGGTTCGCGCGAAGTTCTTGGATCTGCGCCAGACCACCCTGGCGACGCCGTCTGATCGCCTGGCGTCCGGGCCCCGGCCCCTTCTCCGGGGGAGGGGAGGGGTCGCACAGGATTCATGTTTGACGGTCCGAAGGGGTGACGGACTTGCCATCGCTCGGACGTCCATTCCCCGTGCATTTTCCGGTTCCGTGCGTTCATTTTTTCGCGGGGTGATTCCAATTGGCCCTCGATGGTTCTGGCCAAAATTAAACACGTCCGAGTGATGCCAAGCCTGAGGCCCGATGATGGGCCAGAGCTGGAATGAGGGACGATGCTGCGTCACCCCGGCGCCGCGTGCACAGAGTAGCAACTGCACAGGGGTAGGAAATGTGGGTCTCGCCCCAACGCCGGGCGAATTCATGGTACAACATTCCAACTGCTATGAACGAATGCTGGCAGGTTTTTCAAATGGGGTGCTCACCTCAGACGCCCTCACAACACCACCGATGGAGGACGGAGAATACTTCCAAAATGTGGCTCTCGTCGGAGCCATGAGGAGGAAGCGAAGGAGGAGAAGGAGGATGAGGAGTCAGGAGGAGGAGGAGGAGGAGGAGGAGGAGGAGGAGGAGGAGGGAGGAGGAGGAGGAGGAAGGGGAGGAGGAGGAGGAGGAGGAGGAGGAGGAGGAGGAGGAGGAGAAGGAGGAGAGGAGGAGGAGAAGGAAGGGGGAGGAGGAGGAGGAGGAGGAGGAGGGGAGGAGGAGGAGTAGGAGTAGGAGGAGGAGGAGCAGGAGGAGGAGGAGGAGGAGGAGGAGGAGGAGGAGGAGGAGAGGAAGCGTCACGAGCAGAGAGGTTAAACAAACATGTGCGATATAAATATATAAACACATGTATACACACGGATATATAGCGGGTTCTTTTCCCAAAGCGTGGCTGTCGCTGGGCACGACCTTCTGAACTGTTCTGCCCACCCTTTTCGCATTTCATGTACAGTCGAACCGAGGACAGAAAAGCATCCCTCAACAACATCGTTCAAGAAAATCATCCACGCACATCCTAGAACCGCGGACCAAAGCGCACCGAACATCCAGTGGCACCCGCCCCAGGATGCACAAGAACCTCCAACGAGCACGAAGGACACTCCTCCTCCTCCTCCTCCTCCTCCTCCTCCTCCTCCTGCTCCTCCTCCACCTCCGCCTCCGCCTCCTCCGCCTCCTTTTCCTCCTCCCTCCTCCTCCTCCTTTTCCTCCTCCTCCTCCTCCTCCTTTTCCTCCTCCTCCTCCTCCTCCTCCTCCTCCTCCTCCTCCTCCTCCTAGGGCACCCTCCCCGAGCAGACCTGGATCCCGTGCGTCGGCCCGACTGCCGCTCGACAGATGGCGGGTGGCCTCCTTCGGGAAGCGGGGCTCCCGCCGGCATCGCGGACCCGTGTGGCGCCCGCCCGTCATGGGGGGGGGGGGGTCCCGAATTCAGAACGACTGCCTCACAGACCCAGACCCCCTCGGGCAATGAACAAATCACGACGGCAAATGGTTTCTGCCATCTTCGGCCTCTGGGGGTGCCCTTCGCGGCCCTCGAGAACGTCAAGGAACGACTGATGATGAAAAACCGCTCCAGGGGACTGGGTCGCGACCTCCAGGGGTGGACGTCACGGACGATTCATGGCGTCGGGGGTCTGGGCAGCCCCCCCCCGGGGTGTCGTGGGGGGATCACGGCGGACGACTTTCGCCAGGGCAGGAGAGCCCAGAATCGAAACGACGAGTCGGATCGGCGATCGGCATGGATCGGATCGGCGGACAGACATCGGCAGGCCAATCTGCCTCCAGTAAGAGATCGGAGCCCAAATCGGAATCTCGAATCGAATCGAATCGGAGTCGGAATCCGTCGAAATCGAATCGAATGTCCTCGGAGGAATCGAACCGAGCCCTCGTGGGCTTGCTCTGATCCTCCTCCCTCCCCATCCACGGGCGCCTCCCAGCTGGAGGCGGCTCTCGAATGGGGGGAGGGGCAGATCGAGGCCGACATCTCCACGAGGGCTCAGAAGACGGCGCCGGGGAGGGCCCCCGCGTCGACTTCGATGTGTTGTTTGTTTTTTTCGTTTTGTTTTCCCTCGTCGACTTCGAGGGGATTGAGACCGCGACTCCGAGCGCCTCCGCCAGACGCGCTCGGAGAGGAGGCGAGGCCAAGGTGCGCGGCCTCAGAGGGAAGCCCCGCGCGCGCGGGGCTTCCGACCTGCGGGGGGCAGGAGGCGGAAACTCCTGGGAATCCTCCTCTGCTTCCACTCTCTGGCGGCTATATTGGCGGGGCGGAGCCGCCGACACAGGCTCTTCAGGCCACCTTCTCCAGACTCCCATGCCGTCCCACTCAGACAGCGGAACTACCCCCGCAGATGATGGCAGACGGCTGGACGCTGGGAAATAATGCTCTCCACGATCGCGACGACGTCGGTGCAGGACGACGGCGGCGAGGGCGGCGGCGACGGTGGCGACGACGAGCGGCGGCAACCGCGGCCACCTCGATGATGGCGACGGTCGCAAATGGGAACCGCGCGTATATACACTAAGGTATCTGGGCCCTGTCCGACGTGGCTTCTCAGACATGCCACACAGCGACGTTTAGTGTATGATTTTCTGGCCGGTTCTACGGGCGACAAATGTTGTAGATGCATATGTACAAATAATTGTACACACATGCGCACGTATACATGTATACATCTGTATACATCTGTGTGTATGCTGTGTCCGGGCCAACCCCCGGCGACGTGATTGTTTCATGACGTGGACCCGCAAAGATCCTGATCTCTCTCTGGGGACCGGCTTTCCGGCCCGAATCGTTTCTCGGCGGTCCCGGGGCCTGGTACGGGCCCCCTGGACGCCCAAACAACGAAAAAGCTTCCGTAGTATCTGTTCCACGGAACGAGGGGGTCTGGGGTCGTAGCCACGGAGGCAGCGCGACGCTGCGCCCCGCCCCGAACGGCACGCCGACCTGGGACTTTGGGTGCAGGTCGCGGCTCCAGAGGTCCCGTCCGCTCCCCCAGGGCAAGTTTTCCGCCCTGGGATCCGTTTCTGATGGCCCTGGGGCCCGGCAGCGCGCCCCGAGGGCCGACATCTAGGCAAAACGCCAGGATCGGCAAACCACATCGTCGGCTTCGCTGCCCCGATACGCAACACGCAACGCGTAGCGTGTTGACACGGAGCTCAACATGTGGACTCAACACGTAGACTGAAGACGCAGGTCTGGCTCGATACGCTCGCCAAAACGAGGACCAACACGTGCCGAACCAACACGCAACGTGTTAACACGGAAGTTTTGAACACGGTGCGTGTTGCTGTTCAATCCCAGGGGTGCCGCCGACGCACCCCCAACGCATCCACATCACATAAGATGCGTCATCGCATTTTGACCGAAACTGGCAACACATGTGCGACAGTCTATGCAAGACGAAACCAGTACGAGGATAACATCGTGCGAGGATAAATCGAGAATCTCTGAGTTCAAGCGGCTCTTGAGTCTGCCTCGGGCGCCGCGGCCTTCTCAGAGCGTGCCGGAACGCTCTGCGAGCGTCCCGGCACGCTCTGGAACGGATCTTTCCTCGTCCTAACCCCCGCCCGACTAAGGCGCATGTGTTCCGTGAACCATCCTGCGCGCTGGGGGCGCGGCAAGGGGAGGAACAGAACAGAACGACTCTGGGGGGCCGAATCCGATGGTCACCGAATTGCGACACAAAACTTGGCCACTGATGGGGAAACCGAAAGGCACTGATACCGTTACTCCCCAGACCTCTCCTGGGGCGCGTCCTGACCAGAACTCCACGGCGAACCCAGGGGTGGCGGCGAGGGCCTGACAGGCAGCCGAAGAAAGAAAAAACGAGGAAGGGGAGCGACACGGGTAAGTACCTTTCCCTCCTCCGGAAGCGGCCGTGATGCGTCGCGGATGCGTCGTCGGTGTGGGGCACGGGCGCATCCGGGCCCTCCAAAGGGTCGGCGAAAAGGTCGGCGGTCGGCGCTCCTTCCCGAAGGGCACGCCGACCTGGGACTTCCGGCGCAGGTCGATGCGGGGGGTGGCGAGGATCTGCCGCACCACGGCCACGCTGCCCATGCAGACGGCCAACCTCGGCGCCGCACGAACGGGGCATCGCCGAGCGCCCGCACCCTCGATGCTGCTGTTCTTGTGTGGTGCTTGTTGTTGCTGCTGCTGCTGCTGCTGCTGCTGGTGTTGCTGTTGTCGCTGTTGCTGCTGTTGGTGGTGTTGTTGGTGTTGGTGTTGTGTTTGTTGTTGTGGTTGTTGGTTGTTGGTTATTGGTTGGTGGTTGTTGGTTGGTGTTGCTGTTGTTTGTTGTTTGTTGTTTGTTGCTGTGTGTTGTTAACGTGTTGTTGTTGTTGCTGTCGTTGGTGCTGTTGTTCTTGTTGTTGATGTTGGTGTGTTGTTGTTGGTGTTGTTGTCGTTGCTTGTTTGTTTGTTCGTTTGCTTGTTTGCTTCTTTGCTTGTTGATTAATCGTGTTGCTTGTTGTTGTTTGGTGGTGTAGTTGCTGTTGCTGCCGTGGTTGTTGTTGTTGTCGTTGTTGTTGCTGATGTTGTCGTTGTTGTTGTTGTTGCTGTTGTTGTTGTTGTGCCTTCCTGACGGTGAACCCGAGGGCGGGTGCGAGAGGCGGGCTCCCCCAACAAATCAGACGAGGCCAGGCAGGGACAACCTCGGACTGGCCGGATCTCGCTGCTGCTCCTCCTGACCAGGCCTCGATCGGCTCTGGTGGTGGAGGCAAGGCTGGGGCTGGCAAGGTCGTCCACTGCTTCCGCGCTGTCCAGGCCTGGGATCGTCACGAGCTGCTTGTCCGAGCTGCGGCAGATGTGCGAGTCTTCAGGGCAGGCAGATCGAGGCACCACGCGAGCCAATCACTCGCAGAGGCACGGAGAAGCTAGCTCGTATTGGTGACCAGCTCCACCCGCGGCGGGAAGGCGTGCACGCGCAAGTGCAGGCCGTGTTGGCTCGCCCTGGTCCCGGGTGAAGCCTCCCTCGTTTCGTTGCAAACATCCCGTGCTTATCCGAATCAGCCCAACGAGTTTCTCCCCAGATTTCCGACTGCATGATTTTTCCTCAAGTAGACTTGCCTCAACCAGGCTTGCCTACAGGACTCTTACTTGGTTAAAGGTTGGTGCCTCCGATTCTTTCGTTGCCCGTTGCCCAAGAGGTTCCCTGGGTTCCTCGGGTTCCTCGCCCTCGGTGCTTCCGATTCTTACGTTGCCCGTTGTCTGGAGGTTCCCGGGTTCCCCGCGTTCCCCGGGTTCCCTAGCTTCCCCGGGTTCCCCGCCCCTGCCGACTCGTCTTCTTACTCTGTCCGTTCCAAGAAGCACGCTCCAAGCAATGCCAAGCAATGTCAAGCAATGCCAAGCTCTGCCAAGCACTGTCAAGCACTGCCAAGCACTGCCAAGCAATGCCAAGCAATGCCAAGCACTGCGCCCATGCAACAGGAAACTTTCCCCCAACTGGCGTCGTTCTGGGTTCATTTTACTCTGTGTGTGTTTCATGGTATTCGGCCTCTGGGGCCCATTTTCGGGCCCTGGGGCTATCAGAAACGGATCCAGAGGGAAACACTAGTCCCAGGGAAGGGGTCGGGATCACGCCCAAGACAACGTGCGTCGTGACAACATCAAAACGACGGAATGTGTTTCATTGTTTCCTGCCTCCGGGGGCCCTTATCCTGCATCGAGACCGTCAAACATCGACACAGGATGAAAAGCGCGTCCCGGAGAAGGGGTCCTCCTCCTCCTCCTCCTCCTCCTCCTCCTCCTCCTCCTCCTCCTCCTCCTCCTCCGTCTCCTCCTCCTCCTCCTCCTCCTCCTCCTCCTCCTCCTCCTCCTCCTCCTACTCTCCGTTTCCTCCTCGTCAGTCTTCCTCTTTTTCCTATTCCTCCTCCTCTTTCGTCTCCTTCTTCTCTTCAACCTCTCCATCCCTTTCCCTGCTCCTGCTCCTGATCCTGCTGCTGCGCACTGCGCTGGAGACAAAGGGCGCACAATCACTCATCAATTCGCTCACGCATGCGAATGGTGGAAAACTACACCTCATTCCGGCCCCCCCCCCACCCTGCACCATCCATTCTAGCCGCAATTGATCTGCTTCCTCCTCCTCCTCCTCCTCCTCCTCCATTTTCTATTTTCCGACCGTCATCCATCATGTCATTCTTCATCCTCCATCCTTCTCCATTCCCACACCTTCCTCATCCCCTCTTCCCTCCATCAATCCTTCTCATCCTCCTCATTCTCCCTCTTCCATCCTCATCCACTCCTCCCTCCCTTACTCTTTCTACTCCTCCTCCTCCTCCTCCTCCGTCACCGCTCCTGCCTCCATCCTCATCCTGCATCCCCGGCATCTTACATTCTCCATCCTGACCCCTCCCGCACCAACTCCACAATCCGTTTTCCTCATGGGTACCTCAACCTTGTCACACCCCTAGACATGTCGGTCGTGGGGGTCAGACGATTCGCCTGCGACTTCCTCACCATTTGTTATCCTGAAGCTTGGAATATGGCCAGCCCTCTGTTCGTAGGTGGTTTGAAACGTTAAGTATTCCGATGTCCTTCTCCTTCTCTCCTCAGGGGGAGGTTCAATGATCCCCCACATCAACATTCTCTCTGGGTCTGGACGATCACGGTCGCGGGTCGTCGGAGCGTCCAAGATGGCTCAAGATGGCTCCAAGAGGGTCCCAGATGGCCTAAGACAGTCTCCAAGAGAAGACAAGATTGCCCAGGAGACTTAGCTCTGAATAGCCTCTCACATGCTGCTGAGAGGCTCCAGGACCATAGAGAGGCCCCCACATTATCGTATCCAGGGTGTCTGGAGTTGGACATGTGAGCCCCCAGATTTCCCCCCCTGGAGGCCCCAATAGTCGCCTTGATCTGAAGAAGCCCCCGAGGACACCTCGAGGCTCCCAGAAGTGCCCTCGCGGGCCCGAAGGCAGCCCCCGAGGGCCCCACGACGGCCCCAGGAGGACTCCAAGCCTTCCCCAAGAGGGCTCCGTCGATGGCCCTCCGTGGCCTCTCGGGTGGCCGCGAGGAGCCCTGGGACAGCACCCCCCGCGAGAGCTCCAAGGAGGCCCTCCCACGGCCCCGACGAGGCCCCCCCCCGGCAGGAGAGCCCAGGATCGAATCGACCAGCTGGATCGGCGATCGAACACAGCCGGATCGGCGGAGATCGGCGGCCGAGTCGGGAAAGGGTCGAATCGACGGCAGTCGGCAGGCTAGCAGGCCTCCCTCGTGAAATCGGAGCCCAAGTCGGAATCCAAAGCCGAATCAAATCGGAATCGGAGGGGGAGGAGAAGGAGGGGGAGGGGGAGGGGGAGGGGGAGGAGGAGGGGGAGGAGGAGGAGGGGGAGGAGGAGGAGGAGGAGGAGGAGGAGGAGGAGGAGGAGGAGGAGGAGGAAGAGGAGGAGAGCCCATCGAAATCGGATCGAATCGAAATCGCATCGAATCGAATCGGGGGAATCGACATGAGCCCCGCCCTGGCCCACACCGCGCCTCCCCTCGCACCCTCCGCTCCCCCCCGGGGGAGCGGCGCAGCGCTGGCGGGCGCACATGAGGGCCGTGTCGCCGTGGTAGCCGCCGCAGCTCACCTGGCCCGCGCCGCGGTCGCTTGCTTGCGTTTTTGTCTGTTTTTGTTTTTGCTGTTTTTGTTTTATGTTTTTTTTTTTTTCTGTTTTGATCGAGAATAATCAGATCATGCTCTTGTTGTCTCTGCTCTCCCCTTTTGCTAAGAAATAATCAAAACAGCTTGTGTTTGCTATGCTACTAACAGGGGATATGTCGACCCCTATCCCAGGCTTCGTGGGGTTTCCGAGTGGACCAGAAATTGGGGGCCCAACCCTGGGATATACGATGGGGGGGTGTCCATCCTCGATAGGGATGCGTCCGAGTAGCCCCCTTGGGGTGTATCCCAGGGTTTTCCAATGTTTCTGAGCGGCCAAACTTTTCGGGCGAAACTCGGGGATTGGGGGAGAAACATCGCCCGCGAGCTACTGCTGCTGCTGCCGAGAAGCTCCCGTCATGCTCGCGGCACGGGCCGCAGCTCGCGCCACGGGCGCGCGCCTCGCCGCCCCGGAAGACGTGGCCCCACGGCAGCCCGGGCGGCCGCGCCCGTGCGTGTTCGCCCCCGGCCTCAGGTCGGGCCTGTCCCCCTGCACGGGCACTCCGGATGAAACATAAGCAATACTCCAACATGTTCGAGAGGATGCCCCAAAATACTAACAAAAAAATTGTCCCTCGACTACTTTTCCCCACATCCAGAAAGATGGGGCTCTTGTTATTGGCGGACCGCGCCGGAGGAACAGAGAGAGAACATCACACCACCTCAACATCCACTACACTCACTCAGGTCCACTCACCGGATGACTCACACACACACACACACACACTGATGTTGAGGATGTCTCAGGCGATTCTGTGGCTTCAGCACTCCTAAGGGGAGCGGCGGGGGGGTGTTTCACTCGGCTTCTGGCGCAGGATTTTGTGGGGATGTCTCGAGCGGTTTGCCTGTTTTCTGTCCCAACATCCTTCGCTTTCGGAGCAGATTTGGAGGATGTCTCGAGCGAGGCGCTCATTTTCACCCCCCAGGTGGGCCAGATGTTGAGGATGTCTCGATCGGTTTGCTTGTTTTGGTGGCCAGGCTCGTGGGCGCAGATTCTTCTCAGGATGCCACAGGAGGCTCCAACAGGCTCCAGGAGGCCCCAGGAGACCACATGAGGTCCCAGGAGGCATCAGGAGGCCACAGAAAGACTCAAGAGGCCACAGGATGTCCCAAGAGGCTCCAGGAGGCCCCAGGAAGCTCCAGAAGGCCTCAGGAAACCACAGGAGGCCCCAGGAGGCAACAGGAAGCGCCAGGAGGCCTCGGAAGGCAACAGGAGGCCCCGAGAGGCCCCAGGAGCAGGAGGCCTCAGAAGGCAACAGGAGTGGCTCCAATCCCATGTGTTTTACGTATGCTCCTATCGATTGGGCCTCACCTGGAGCACGATTCTTTGATGTTCTACGTATGTTTCTATAGATGGTCCTTCTCCTGTGTACACAATCCTAAATGTTTTACTCATGTTCCTATATATTGGGCCTCTCCTGGGGCACGAGTCCTTGGTGTTTTACGCGTGTTCCTATAGATTGCCCTTCTCCTGTGGCTCTAATCCGCAATGTTTTATGTACGTCTGTTGCTATAGATTGCGCCTCTCCTGGGGCACGAAACCTTCCTAGGAGGTCCCAGGAGGTCCCAAGAGGCTCCTGGAGACCCCAGGAAGCCCCAGTAGGTTTCAGGAGGCCCCAGGAGGCCCCAGGCTCATGCACAGAGACGCGCTCGTACTACTGAGGCTCATTCACACTCCAATTCATTCGCAGTTAGATTGATGTCCAGACCGTCACAACTGAAGCCCGTTAATATTCGAAAGCTCTTGCGCCTAGACATTCACGGCGGACAGGTCCATGCGAGTAGATGCACATATGGGGAGCTCCACGCAGTGAATAATTTGACTATTTTCGAATATCCCCCCTGTAGAGGGACAGGCCCGACTTAACCCTGGCCCCCTTGTCACCCATCCAGCCTCTGCTGTATTCCGCAGTCTCCGGCGACCTTCGGCTGTCTTGGGCGGTCCTCTGCGCAGTAGCTGAGAGGTTGCGCTTCGCAAGGGGGCACGACCCAAGGCCTGACACACCCCAAGGTCTGTGCATCTTCTTCTGCCGCACCGCCCCCTCGGCGGCCTCCGCGGGACGTCGGTCGGTCCGCGCACATGTTGTCCGTGCCGTCTTTCGGACAGCCGCGGCTGGAGTAGCCATGTGGAATGGCGTGTGGTTGTGCAGCCCAGACCAGTTTTTCAAGAGGCCGGGCGCGGAGCGCCCCGAATGGTGCCGGCGGAGTCGGCGCCCAGGTGCGTGGGGGCCTCTTGAAGCCAGTTGCGACTACCTCTGGGGGCTCTCCGTGCGCGCAGCCCCAGGCCTTGCAGGGCTGAATCGGCCGTTCGTTTTTTCATTCGTGCTCCGCTCCAGCTGGTCTCCCAGGGCGGAGGAGGAGGAGGAGGAGGAGGAGGAGGAGGAGGAGGAGGAGGAGGAGGAGGAGGAGGGCGGAGGAGGAGGAGAAGGAGGAGGAGGGAGAGGAGGAGGAGGAGGAGGGGAGGAGGAGGAGGGGATGAGCAGGAGGAGGAGGAGGGAGGAGGAGGGTATTTGAGGCCCCGGGGCAGACGCGCCCGAGTCCCTGGCCTGCGGGAAGCAAAGCGGCCGCGCGATCGATCGCCGCTCGCTTCGCCCACCTGCCTCCGCCAACGCGATCGCGCAGCCGACGGCAGGCATCGATCGCACGGCAGGAGACGCCGAGTGGCACCAGTCGGCGTGTGCGCCCCGGGGAGGAGGGCGCTTCGGGGGCAGTCCTTCCCCGAAGGCGGCACGGCTTCTCGGAGGCCCTCTCAGAAGGGCGCGAGGAGGAGGAGGACGGGGACGGGGACGGGGACGGGGACGAGGACGAGGAGGAGGAGGAGGAGGAGGAGGAGGAGGAAGAAGGGGAAGGGGAGGAGAAGAGCAAGGAGGACAAGGAGGACGACGAGGAGGAGGAGGAGGAGGAGGAGGAGGAGGAGGCAGAGACTGGCCTCTATCTGGCCCCCCCCCTCCCCGGGCGGGCCGCCGCAGCAGGAGCCGGAGAGCACCGCGCGGGGCGGACGAGGGGGGAGCGGCGCGGGCGCGCACTCTTTTGGAGCACGCAGGCGCCCCCCGCTCGGAGAAAGACGTGGCGCCAGCAGAACACTGCGCGGACGGGGCGGGGCGGCGAGGATGGCGATGACGATGACGATGACGACTATGATGATGCTGATGATGATGCTGATGACGATGACGATGACGATGACGATGACGATGACGATTATGGTAACGATGATGATGATGATGATGATGATGATGATGATGATGATGATGATGATGATGATGATGATGATGATGATGCTGATGATGATGATGATGATGATGACGATGACGATGACGATGACGATGACGATTATGATGATGCTGATGATGCTGATGATGACGATGATGACGATGACGACGATGACGACAACGACGATGACGATGACGATGACGATGATGATGATGACGATGATGATGATGATGATGATGATGATGATGATGATGATGATGCTGATGCTGATGCTGCTGATGATGATGATGCTGATGCTGATGCTGATGCTGATGATGATGATGATGATGATGATGATGATGATGATGACGATGGGGGAGCGGCGCGCGCGCCCTCATTGGAGCACGAAAACGCCCCCCGCTCGGAGAAAGAGATGGCGCCGGCAAAACTGTGCGGGGTGGCGGTGCGGCTCGAAAACAGACCTCGCGGAGCGCCCTCTCCTGTCCCCCGAGGTCCGACGTTGCGGAGCATCGGCGGCGAGCGAGGGGGGGAAACGAGAAGGAGAAGGGCTTCTCAGAAGGCGGCGGGACTTCTCAAAGCCCATCGCGCATTCTGAGAAGTGTTCTGTGTCGTCGGGGAAGGCTTCGAAAACTTCTCAGAAGGCCGGGGGACTTCCGAGCCTTCTGAGAAGGCCCACCCTTTCTCACTTCCCCCCCCTGCCCTCGCCGCCGGAAAAAAAATATGCGACATCGCGGATGATCGCGCCTGGAACCCTGGACCCCATCTTGCTGCGTCCTTCCTCGAGCCAAGTCGATGCATTGGAGGATCCCGGGGCCCGCCATCGGGCGAGGACGCCCGCTGCACAAAGGGTGGCACCGCCAGGACCTCGGGGCCTGCCGAGGGCGAGCGCCAGAGGGGGGCCGGCTCGGCCGACGGGTCGGCGATGGGCCCCCGAGGGCGGAGCCGGGTGCGGGGCGGGGCAGGCTGGCGGGCCCCCGTCGGCGATCCAGCGGCGACGCGGGGTCGCTGCGCCCCCCGCCCGCAAGCTCAGGTCGGGCGTGTCCTCCTACAAGCGGGTCTCTGGCGAAGCATCGCAAAATATGCAAAGCATGTTCAGAAGCAATCGCGAAACACGAGAAGTCGTCACCGGACCATTTTTCCACTGCTCTTGAGCACTCCTCCTCTAGAGGGACATGCCCGACTTAACCCTGAACCTATCCCCCCTCGCGCTGCCCCTGGAGATTGCCCTCATGGCAAGATGTTGCGCGCCTCGATGTAGAAGCGCTTCTCGTTGGCCTCGCCCATGCTGAAGGCCTTGACGAACGAACAACACACAACACACACACAACACACACAACACACACACAACACACACACAACACACACACAACACACAACACACAACACACAACACACACAACACACACAACACACACACACACGACACACAACACACACAACACACACACAAACACACACACACACACGCACACACGCGCACCCATACCCACAGGGGGGCAGAGGGGGCTCTGAGTGCGTGTTGTCGGTTGGGGGTCCCCGCTCAAACGGGAGCCTCCCCCCCAGGCCCGACAACCCGCACACATACCCACAGCCAGTCTCCTCCTTCCGACCCCCCTGTAGGTATGGGCGTGTGTGGTGTGTATGTTGTTCGTTCGGCAGGCCTTGCGCGGCAGCGTGCCGATGGCGTGCACGGTGTCGAGGAACCGGGACTTGTCGAGCTTGGGCAGCAACAGCCCGACGGCCTTGCCCTCCTTCACGGCCTCGTCGACCGGCTCCTCGCCGTGCACGTAGCCGATCTTCACCTCTGGGTGCGCGGCCACGAACTCGTCCATGGGCTCCGTCATGGACACGATGGGCAGCTTCTCCATCGGCGGCACTAGCGTGAACCTGCCCTCTGGTCTCACGATGACGACGGAGTGAATGGGCTGCGGGCTCACGAAGGGCGTGGCCTTGCAGCCCCAGGCCGTCTCGAGCGTCGACTGGATGTCGTCTGCCTTGGCGCCCTCCAGGATGCGGTGGATGGGCTCAAAAACCACGCCGTCGTCGTGCAGGTTCTGGAGCTCCACAAGCGCGTAGCGCGCTGGGTGCGTCTCCTTGTTGATCCCCTCCTGGGTCTTCAGGTTCTCCCAGCAGCTCTTGGCGGTGGCCAGCGAGTGGTTGCCGTCACCGATGAGGATGGTGGACGGCTTTCGCTTCGCGGCCTCGGCGGCGGCGAACTCCTTCGCAGACAGCGCCTTCATGGCGGAGGCCACGTGCTCGGTGCCCTTGGGCGTGACGGTGAAGCCTTTGACGGAGCCGGCGCCTTTGAACAGGTTGCACTCGTACTCCGGAGTCGTCAGCCCATCAGTGGTGAAAAGGGGCTCGATCACGGTCTTTCCGGGGTCGTCGATGATCATGATGATGTGCGGCAGCTCGAGCGGGGCGTCCTTGCGGATGGCGATGCGCGGGGGGAGCCGGGCCACGATGGTCTTCTCCGTGGGCCGGATGAGCGTGGGCTCGGGGCAGTTGTAGTTGTACTCGTCGAGGTCGACTGCCATGATCAAGCCCTTGCGGGAAGGGACCTGTTGGAGGCCTGGAAATGAACACCAACACCAACACAGGCGGGTGCCTACACCAGGGAAAGATGATCCTGGATGTTGGTGCTGGTGGTAATCCTTGGGCCACCTAGATAGATCGAGTATTACCACCAGCACCGAGAGCGGGATCACCTTCCCTCGGTGGCGGCACACCGCCGATATTGGTGTTGGTGTCAGCATCTAGGCATCCGAACCTGCTCTGTCTTGCGATCGAGGGCCAAAAACGCCGGGGCGCGCTCGCGGAAGACGCCGTCGGCGACGTACTGCCTCATGGTCTTGCCGATCTGCTCGATGCGCTTGGTGTCCTCGGACGGGTCCGCCCCCGTGACGGACGCGAGGTAGACCTCCGGGAAGACGATGTTCAGGGCCGACGGGGTTCCCGCCGCGTGTTCGGCCATCTCCTTCAGTGGATCGAAACAATGGTACACACATTCACTTTCGAATCTCCGAAAAGCTGTGACAACACCCCCAGCGTCGTGACTTGTTCATGGAGTGGTCCCCCGCGGGTCTGGACCACTCTCCCAGGACCGACTTTTCATCCCGAGTCGTGTTGTTGCCTGTCGTGGGAATGGGCAGGGGCCGAAAATAGCGAAAACCCTTCCGTCGTGTCTTTCCCACGGCGCGAAAGGGGGTCTGGGCTCAGGCCAGGGCTCCGGACAGGCAGGTCTCTGTCCACTCTGCTCTCCCTCGATCCTTCCAGTACGCCGGCTCAGACTCGAACTGGTCGCAGGCAACCGTCGCCCACTTGTCGAGGGGGATGTCCGCGCGCGGCATCAGGATCTGGGGCACGCAGATCGGCAGCCCATCGAGGATGGGCTCGCCGAGGGAGGTGGACTTCGAGGAGGCCATGGCGCGCTGGGGCGGCGGGGCGGCGGCGGGCGAGGGGGCGCTCGAGGAGGTCGCCAGGGAGCAACAGCGGCCCTGAGCCACGGGGGGCCGCGGGCGGGAGCGGGAGAGTCACCACCCACCAAGCCACCCCAACCCAAGCCGAAGGCCTCCATCTGCCCTCCGTCTCCAGTGGGGGGGGGGTCGGGGAACACGGGACAAACCACATGGAACCCGCCCCCCCCCCCCCAACCCGAAAGTCGGGTCAGATTCTGGTCGTCGGGTTGGGCTGGGGTGGTCTGGTGGGTAGTCAGAGAGGGTAGGAGGGCCCAGAATCGAGGCGACGAGTCGGATCGGCGATCGGAATCGATCGCATCGGCGGAGAGCGGCAGCCGAATCGGGAAGAGTCGGATCGGCGGAGGTCGCCAGCTTCCGGGGCCGACGGCGTGCTTGGTTGACCGTTGCAGTTGGGGATCGTGGCACCGAGCTCGCGCGAAACAGACTGTAGGAAATCACGAAAAGCACCGTGCCCCAAATCTCCAGTGTGCGAATGCATCGAACGACAACGACACGGCCAGTTGCAGGAAAACGCGGACCACGCGTTCCTACAACCGGCCTGACCACGATCCGCGCCTTCCTGCACTTGGTTTTCCTGCGTCGCCGTTCGCTACACACACTGTTAGCGCGTCTGCGGAGCTTAGTAGGCCCCCAGCGAGGCATCCGAACCCAAACTCGGAATCCGAAGCCGAATCGAACAGGAATCGGAAGCCACCGAGGTCGAATCGCACCGAGTCGGAGGGAGCGAAACCGGCCCCGAGGAGGAGGATGAGGGGGGGGGAGGGGGAG